AAAAAATAATTAAATTATTATAAATATAGATCATATTAATATAATTAAATCATTAAGTATATAATTTTATTTATAAAATGATTGATAAATTCATTATCCAGTCACAATTATCAGCTTAATCTAAAGAACTACCAATAAAAAAAAATATTAAAAAGAATTCAATAAAAAAAAAATTTTCAATTACCTATTCAGATTATCTAATTAAAACTAATAGCTAAATTTTTTATAAATCTTTATAAAATAATCATTTTCTTAATAATACTTTTCTTTAATGAAATTTTCAACCTTTAATATATTTATTTTTTGTCAAAGTTGTTCTTTATTAGTATTTGTAAGCTTAATCTTTTTTTTTATTGAATTTAATTTTACAAGTTTATAATTTGTTTTTAAATTTTTTTTTTTTTTATTAAAAACAGAAAGCTTTTATATATTTAACTTTCTTTTAAGATTATTTTATGAATAATTATTAAAAGATATTTTATTTAAAGATTAGAAATTTTAAATTTAAAGATTTAATTTAATTAATGCATGTAAAAATTTATTTAAGAGAAATAATTAATTATAAGATTTAAATTAAATGATTATACAAAATCAAGTTATTTATATAGAAATTTTAAATCTTATAATTCTAAAGTTAATCTATATAGAAATAGTAAATTTATGTTTATAAGATTGATTACTGATAATTTGAATATAACTTATTTTTTGATAGATTATATCTGAATATTATAGGATTTTTGTAAATGTAAATTCTTTTGCAAATTTTTAAAAAATTGAAAAATTGATTTTAAAGACAAAATTATTTCTTATTATCATATTTGAAATTCAAGTAAAAAAAAAATTTTTAGCAGAGCAATTAATCAATAAAATAAAGTTATGAATTATATAATATGATAATTTTTTAAATAGAATTCTGTAAATTTTGTAAAATTCTAAGAATACTAATAATTTACATAAAATTTGCTAATCTTTAAATACTATAAATAATCCTAATTTTATAAATTAAATAAAATATTTAATATAATACTTATTTTTAATATTTTACTTTTATTATTTTTATTTTATTATATATTATTATTGTTTATAGTTTATTTATATTTTTTATATTAAATTAATTATTTTATAAATAACAATTAAAGTTATTAGATAAAATCTAGAGATTTTATAATTTATTTAAATGGGAAAAGATAAAATTAGCAAAATTATATTAAATTCTTATTAAAAAATCTGTGAAACTAAGAAAAAGTTAAAACTATATTAAAGTTTATAAAGATGTGAAATTATATTAAAATCTTAATAAAAAATTAACAAAATAAAGTTAAACATTTTATTAAGTTTAAAATGAATTTAAATAAATAACTTTAGTAATAATTAATTAATTATTATAAAGAAATTTTATATAAATAGATAAACTTTTTTCTTATATTGTAAATTAATTCTTTTGTAAATTTATAACTCAAGTACAAGTTTCAGTATTATAATAAAGAAAGCAATTAAAATTTATAACTTTCTATCTTTTTGTATTTTCATATAGTCTGATATAATCTCTATATATAATTTATAATTGAGTTTATCCTTTAATTCTTTAATTAAAGTTATTTGTAATTTTATTTTTTAAGTTTTAATAAATTTGTTAAATTTAATATATAAACTTAATAAAATTAAGAGTTAATCAGATCTTAATGCCTTAGTCACAGTAATAATAATCTCAAGTAGAGATTTAAAAATGTAATTAACCTGAATTAGAAAATTCTATAGTAATAAAATATAATTTATAATATGTATATATAATAATTTTTTTAATAAATACTAGACCAATAATATTATATAAACATTTTGTAAATTACTAAATAATTAATCAAAAACTTTTTGAAACAATTAAATATCTTATTTTATTAGATTTAATAAAATTTAATTTGATTATTATTTATAAATATTATAAATATATATTATATTTAAATAAAATTATTATTAGCATTTATTTGAATAAAAACAAATGTATTATACTAATTTTTTTTTATAAAAATCTGATAAAAATTTAATTTAATAACTATTATTATATATTTAATAAATATTTTTATTTTAGAATATTGATATTATAATATGAAATATTATTAATATTAAAAAGATTATTTTATTGCAAAATTTTCTTTATAATAACTTTTGCTATAAAATAAAAAAAAAACCATATTTTGAAAGAAATGTTTCTAAATCTTCAAAATTTTTATTCCAAAAGAAATATAATAATCTAGAAATCACATTCATCATTCTCAAAAGAAATGTCATTTTCACAGAATACAATTATCAAAAATCTTGATAAATAGTTAAATAAAAATAATTTTTTTTTCTCTCTTTTTTTTTTTATTTACGAATTACAAAAAAAAAAATTAAAAAAAAAGTTCTTAATTGGTTATTATGTAATACATCTCAATCATCTCTTCAGCAATAAAGTTATTTTCTTATCATTTTATTCCTCTCCCCTTTTACTTTGTTGAATCTTTTTATCATGATGTCTTTCCTTTACTTTATTGTTTTTTTTTTCTTCCTCCTCCTTTCTATTTAATTAAAAAGATTTTAAGAATTCAGTTAAAATTTCACGTAATTTTTTATCGGTCGCATCAGAAATTACTCCTTCTTTTTTAATGGTCTCCAATACATCGGAATGATTGGATGTCAAATGTGGAAGGAATGAAGCTTCAAATTCTGTTACACGTTTACTATCTACTTTGTCCAAAAATCCGTGAACACCTGCAAAGACAAGAGGAACTTGTTGTTCAGTTGAAAGTGGTTTAAATTGAGGTTGCTGTTTTAAAAAAAAGATGCAATTCCTTTTTAGTAAACATTCAAACCTTGATCTAAATATAAAATATACAAATGAATAAAGTTCAAACCTTTAGAAGTTCAGTCAATCGTTCTCCACGGTTCAACAAGAAACGCGTTGAGGCATCTAAATCCGAACCGAATTGTGCAAACTGTGGGAAAATCAAAAATAACATGTTAAATATAAAAATAATTTGCATTTTTGGGAAACAATAATAAACTTACAGCAGCGACTTCACGATACTGGGCCAAGTAAAGTTTCAGAGAACCGGCGACTTGTTTCATGGCCTTAGTTTGGGCGGCACTACCTACTCTGCTTACCTAACATTTTTAAGTAAAAAGTTACATTTATTTGATTTATTACATGATTTTACAATGCGAGAATAATTATATTAAATACTTACAGATATACCGACGTTAATGGCCGGACGTATACTACAAAGGAGGAAAAAAAAAAAATAATTATTCATGAAAACTAAGAAAAAAAATTAAATTCATTGATAGTGTAGGCGATTTTAATAAATTGAAATTACCCTTTAAAGAACAATTCGGCTTCCAAGAAAATTTGACCATCAGTAATGGAAATTACGTTGGTGGGAATATAAGCCGATACATCACCACCTTGTGTTTCAATGATTGGTAATGCAGTCAAAGAACCAGCACCAAAGTCTGCATTTAACTTGGCAGCACGTTCTAGTAACCTAGAGTGAAGATAAAACACATCACCAGGATAGGCTTCACGACCTGGTGGACGACGAAGCAATAAGGACATTTGACGGTATGCAACAGCCTGTTTTGACAAATCATCATAAATAATTAAAGAATGTTTTCCATTATCACGGAACCATTCGCCCATAGCACATCCAGAAAATGGTGCCAAGAATTGAAGTGGAGCGGCTTCTGAAGCAGTAGCTGCTACGACAATTGAATATTTCATTGCATCTAAAAAAACAAAAAATCACCCATGGTAATTTTAGAAATCAGAAAAGGTTTAATTTGCAAGGAAAGAATTGTCGAACTTTACCATTTTCTTCCAAGGTTTGCACCAATTGGGCGACAGTTGAACGTTTTTGACCTACGGCAACATAAACGCAGTATAATTTCTTGCTTTCATCATTGCCATCATTCCATCTTTTTTGATTAAGGATCGTATCAATAGCAACGGCGGTTTTTCCGGTTTGACGATCTCCAATGATCAATTCACGTTGACCACGCCCGATCGGTACCATGGCATCAACTGATTTTATACCAGTTTGCATAGGTTCATGTACGGAACGACGAGGAAGAATACCGGGAGCTTTAACTTGGACACGCTTTCGCTCTGCTGCTTGTATAGGTCCTTTACCATCAATTGGATTACCCAAAGCATCAACTACACGACCTAATAAACCAGGACCAACTGGTACATCTACAATCTGACCAGTACGTTTTACAGTATCACCCTCTTTAATCAATCTGTCGTTACCGAATACGACAATACCAACATTATCAGCTTCCAAGTTAAAAGCCATACCCTACTTTCCATAAAAGCAAAAGCATAAATATATTATATGATTGATGCTTACTAATATCTCTCAAAGTGTTATAAACATGCCTTAAGACCACTAGAGAATTCCACCATCTCTTCTGCTTGGACATTCTTAAGACCGTAGACACGAGCAATACCATCACCAATTGATAATACACGACCTGTTTCCTGAATTTCAACACCGGAAGAAACGCCAAGGATGCGTGATTCCAAAATATTGGAAACTTCGGAAGTTGCTTTAATTATTTAATAAAAAATTTTGGTAGTAAATCAAAAATTTATATATATATATATTTCGTTTTCAATCAACTCTTTTTTTTTTTTTTTTTTTGATAATTAAATTACTTTATAAAAATCTATCACTATGAAAAGTAATATCTGATTTGATCGATCATGAATTTTATTCTATTAATACCTACTAGGTTTGGCGGTTGCGAAACTGCGAACTGGGATACTGAATACACCTTTGTTTACGTTAACATTGGCGCGAACCTATTTTTTTTTTAATCATTTGAATTTAGATTTAAATAAATAAATAAATAAAAAGTGATTGAAAATAATTTGTTAGTTTAAAGATTCATATATATGATTATATATGATTAATTGACACTTCAATTTCCTTAAATCAAATAAATTTATTCAGATTATAATTTAAAAAGAAGACAAAAAAATAAGGGTGCATTATCTTTTCTCTCTCTCCCTCCTTCTCTCTCTCTCCCTCCTTTATCTTTTATCTGTAATAATACAATAAATCCAATTTTCTTAACAAAATAATTTCGATAATGACCATCTATCGAGATTTTTTACCAGCCCTTTTCCCATTTCCAATTTTCAAATACGGAAAAACTTTTTCCTCTAATAAATGTTAAAAAAAAAAAAAAAGTAAAACATACTACAGGCACAGCCCGGCGGGTTAATGTAGTCGCCAGAGGCGTAGCAACGCGCGCAACATTTCTAAACATTGTTATTTTATATATTCGCCGTTTCGTAAGGTCGTAAAAAAAAAAGGTTTAGAGAAATCAAAAAAAATTTTTTTTTTTTGATAAATGCAAAAAAAAACCTTTTCGGAAACATCATTTCTTACATTTGGGTAAATCTCTGTGATACAGATCTAGATGGAATATTTTAATTGCAGTGTATACGTTTATATATATTTTTTTTTTAAGTTCTGATATTATATCATGTGAATCACGTGAAACATTTATTTTTTAAAAATCAATTTTTTTTTTTATAAATAAAAAAAAAAAAAAAAAAAAAAAACTCGAGAATTTTCATACAACAAATAAAACAGCTATCAATACTTTGAAGCAAGCTTCAAAAAATAATTACACTCAACATAAATTTTGATTTAGTAAATTATTTTTTTTTAAAAAAAAAAAATAACCCAAGAAAAAAAGTAAGATAAAAATGTCCATCAGAGAAATTTAAAATAACCAAATTATTATTGGGGATAGTTCGTATGTATTATTATGTAATAATGTGACTGCGTAAAAAAAAAATTTGGCCAAGTTTCCCATAACTCACGTACCAGACTTATCTATCTCTGACGCAAAGAGGAAAAAAAAAAAAAAAAAAAAAAGGAAATTTGAATTCGATGTTAATTTGACAAACGTTTTCGTTAGATATGATACAAAATGACTATTAACAACGACGTAAGTTGAATTTGAAATATAAAACAGAAAGTTAAAAGTGGTAATAGTGTAAAAATAAGGTAGTATTTAGGAAAGAAAAATGTCTTTAAAAAAAAAAGTCCATTAAAAAAAAACTTCAAAATGACTCGTTTACCCAATTATAATCCATCATTAAACCTCTAAAAACGAACAATAGTTCACTAAAATCAATTCATTAGGTTCGAAACAGCCCCGATTACATCCACCCAAATTATTTTTCTTTGATAATAAAAAATTAAGATTTCCCGACATTATAATATAAATGTCTATGGTTTTAGATTGAAAATAGTCCATGAAATTATTTAAAAGACTAATTAAGGTAGTTGAATGAAAGAAAGAAATGATCTTCCAAAATAATTAATTCTGCGTTTATTTTTCCCCCCTTTTCAACACTCAATTTTTCGTCTTTTTCTTTTCCGGTTCTTCACTCTCATCATTATGATCGGAAGGTGCAGGACGTGATTTTGATAAGGAACTATTTTCAAGTTTTGCCAATGGTGAAGGCTGATGTTGATAATTATTTCGTGGTGGCCAATGAAAAGCACCAGGCTGAGCACTCGTGGGCGTGTTACCAAATGTAAGAGGACTAGGTAACTCGGTCGTTTTATAAAATTCGGAAAAGAAGGTCGAAGGTGACGGCAAATTCTGCGCAAATTGTGACGGCGGTAATGCCGAGGCAGGACCCGTGTCGGCAGTTGCGGGGGTCGGACGATTTGACGCCATCTTTTAATTTGAACCAACAAAAATAAAAGTAATACATTAATTATATATACAACATCAACAAACTTTTTTTAAAGTCAAAAAAAATAACATGGGCACTTACGGGCAGCGTTACCGTTGGCTGTTGTGAATCTGATGGCGCCTCGTCCTGTTCTGGAGACTGATCTTGCTGTTGGGAAGGTTGAGACTGTTGACCCGCAGCTTGACCGGACGGTTTATCTTTGGCGTCTGGAATCTGAACGCGAAGTTTTGGCTTCTTTGGAGATGGTGATATGAGAGGTGGTGACACTAAATCTGCGGTAGCAGACGTCTCGATCTGAGCTGGGGAACCAAGTGGCAAGGCAACAGCGGTTGTAGATATCGGAATTTGCTGTTGTTGAGGAGCTGGCATGGAAGTAGGAATATTGTTCATTGGAGGGGCGGATTGAGGTACCTGCATCGGAACCGAAGTCATTGGGAGAGACATTGCAGTTACTGAATGCATGGCCTGCGTGACTTGAGTTACCGGTGTATAATATGTTTGAGGCTGTTTTGAGGGAGAAAAAAAAAGGCATTAGCACAGGTGACAATGACACGAAATGAGAGATGCGCAAAACAATTCGCGTCGCATACCATGTACTGTTGTTGCGAAGGTTGCGCGTAAAGGGTGTAATTATTCATGGAATAATTTTGCACCTGAGGTTGTGCATAGCCCTGTCGTAAAGAAGACATAAAAAGAGATCACTTTAATATTGGAGCATACACGTAACGTCGTCAAGCAAGTTATTAATCCAACGAGGCAAATATTTTTGATAAGCAGCATGAAACAAACCTTAACATCATTTGCGGTATCAAATCCTGGTGGTGGATTGTCATCGTCATCATGGTCTGTTGTGTTGGCAAACTAGAATACGTTCAAGGAAAAACATATGATTAACACTTTCATTATTAAGAGTCCCATGAAATTTCAAAAAAAAAAAAAGATCCTTACGTCATGGTTGCCTTTACTTTCATGAGGTTCACTATACTATTAGGTATAAGGAAAGTAGAAGTTCTGGTGAGTGGGATCATTGTAAATTACGGCGCGGTTGAAAAAGATATAAATTATTATTACCTCCGTGTACTTTAACAATATCTTGTCAATATCAGTACTCGCATATTGCACAAGTTTGTTATTAGAATTAAAGATAATTAAAGCAATCTCACAGTCACACAAAACACTGAGCTCGTAAGCCTTTTTCATGAGGCCGTACTTGCGCTTCAAGAAGGTCACCTGATAATGAAAACGAATCATTACAACCAATTAAAACGAATTCAGCAAGGGAATTTTCATGATAAATAAATATCGATGCAAAAAGAAAAAAAAAATGAGGACGTACTTGTCGGTTTCGTTCGTCTTTGATAGGCTTTATCTGAATTTTCTTGCGACCCATGTTTCTGTTTCGTTAAGGTATAACTGAAAAAGTTTTGATAAGGAAGAAAATCGTTAACGTAACGGCTTGTATCAAATAATTTGTCGTAGGAGAATGAAAACACGAGAGCCTGAGAGGAAAATTAGAATAAAGGTTGACATAATGTAGGAATTTCAAATGAAAAAAAAGAAATTTAAATGGGGGTACAGGTTGATAAAGGAAAAAGGAGGAACGGTATGGAGGTTAAAACCAGCCGACGATAAAAAATACTTACTTTTTAGTAGTAGAAGCAAAAAAAAAATTTTTTTTTTTTTTTTTTTTTGGTATGAAATTAGTAGGTCGAGATATATTTTTGTTAGTGGACGCGTTTGTGTGAGTTTATTCCTGGTTGTTCTTTTTTTAAAACACCACAAGGATTTGTTTCTATTATAAACTTGATAGAATTTTTAAAAGGATGAAAAAAAAATGCTATGGTGAGATTTTTTGGTAAGAATAGTTCAGAAATAGATAAAAATATCAATAGGTGAAAAATATTGTGGGCGGGTAACACTTGAGATGAACAAGTGGACAAGTGGGGCACTCTATTTATGAATATTGTACAAATAAGTTAACTATAGATTGTCAAGTAAAGTATAAAAATATACAGGAGAAAAATATTTATAAATAAGATTTTCGGGGGGGTCCAAATCCGGTGACCTTTTTTTTCGTCCCGTGCTGCGGGCATAAAAATTTATTATCGCACCAAATATGCACCAGGTCTCATTTATCCATGCATAATTTATTGAAGGGAACGAAACAAGTTAGAAACCGGAATCTCTGTAAAATCTGGGAGCGGTGTACCTTTTTCCCTAAAGCGGTTTTGGGAGACGCCCTTTTATACAAACAAGGCGTTAACCATCAAAACTAAAAAGGAGAACTATAAATATTCATCATTGTGTTACGTAAGTCAAAGAGCCATCATTCTAAAATTAGTTTCATTTTAATCATGAAAAAAAAAAGTCATATGATACATAACGAGAGATCGAAAACGCATTTTTAAAACTTATTACCGAATGTAGAAGTTTTTCATTAAGCGATTCCGCAGCAATCAAACGGAAGAAAGGGTGAGAGTGAGTTTTAGAGTTGTTTTACAATCAGGAAGCAAAGAGAAATTATGCATGCTCATCATGTCAAACGTTTATTTTTTTTTCACCTTTTTTTTTTTGCTTTTCCTTTTTTCTTTTTCTTTTTCCTTAAACAAAAGGTGGTGCATGAATAGAAGATTTTTATCTCTTTTTTCTTCAATCGATGCACGTGGTCGCGCGTCTATACAAACAAAGAAAGATAGAAAAACTACCCCCAAGGAGTTTCAAAACAAACAAACCAAGATGGAAGAAAAAAGGCAAAAAACAATTAGATGTTGCAAGTCAATTAGTTAATTGAGGGGACAAACCCAAAGAAAGGTTTCAAGTGGTCTTAACGTGTCCTGACGCTTGCCTTTGGAGTTCTGCTGCGCCTCTGGTAAGATCTATAGGGCCAATTTGGTCTAGGTACAAACTAAAAATAGAATTCCCGAGATAATAAGGCTAATCATCGTTGCCTCATTAACCAATCAGAAGGAAACTCGATTTGTTATTGCACATGTGGAATTAATCATTCTACGAAAAAGTACGAAAGATCCATCTTTGGAATTTCATAATTCCACTTTCTCCAAAAAAGTCCAAACATAATTCATTCAATGAAAGAATTGAATGGATACACAGATTGTTGTTGATGCCCATTGACACAGATGATGCAGCATTTTTTTTTTGAATTTAAATTTTTTTCAAGATAAGCAAAGGTTTAAAAAGATCATCCTTAAACATTCTCATCTCTCCGCAGCAATACACTCGTGTTTTTTAAATGCGCCCATAATTCAATTAGCGGTAGAGAAAAAAAAAAGGGAGATTCATGTTTTTAAATCTTTCTTTACGTATTTAGAGGATAAGAAGTCGGAATCTCGTTAATTCGGGATAAAACGAACATCCATGAACTTCAATTGGCTTAACAGATCAACTATTGTATTTTGAAATTTCTACTGGTTTTTATGTCTCCGCGTCATAAGTCGTGATCAACTCGGATTAGAATTACTATAAAAAGATCCTCCCTGAAAAAATAATTAAACCCTTGGGTCTCACATACTTCGGAGAATTTATCTGGAAAGATTACTTCATCCGATATTCATATAATTTCTCTTGGCGGAACAAAGTAATCAAAATAGTTTCATCTTTAAAGGAAAAAAAATAAATACGTTTGGTTACCCAAATGTAAGTTGCTAATTCGCGGGAACGAATTAAAAAAGTTTTTTGTTATCGATTAATCAAATATTTTTTTTTTTTTTAACGATTTTATTTATTTTACATTATTTACATACAAAATTTTTTTTTTTTTTTTTCCCTAACTAAATAAATAGATAATTTATGTACACAGCCCGATACCCTTTTTTTTTTTTTTCCTGTGATTTTCCAGTTAAAAATCCTATTATTGTTGATTTGATCATCCAATAATTATTTGTTTAGTATAACAATTAAGTTAATATGTTCAGTGAACGTGATTTTCGTGGAAATCAAAATTGCTAATTAGATAATCTTAAATATTATTATTTTTTAAAAAAAAAAAAAAAATATGGAAGATAAAGAAGCAACTTTTATTAAACTATCAAATGAAGTATTTCTTGAACAAAGTAGTAGCGAGGGAGAAGATAGTTCAGACGAAGAATATTATAATGTAAATGAGGAGATCGAAGGAGACACACCAACCTTTTCGTTAAATATCGATAATGAGAAAACGTTAAAGAAGAGGTTAGATGCTGCTGTCAAGGATAAGGTAATAGGATAACCTTAAACGAGTTAATTTATTTATGAACATATTAATAGGATTTAACACAAGTATACATCCTTGAATAGGGAGAAAAATTGAAACGAGGTGTTATATATCTTGGTAGAATTCCACATGGATTTTATGAAGAGCAGATTCATTCGTATTTTAGTCAATTTGGTACTGTTACCAGGTTAAAGTTATACAGGAATAAAAAGGTTAACAAGAAATAATTGCATTGCTTTTTTTCTTATAATCATTAACATATATTTATTTTTTTTTATAAAAATTTGTTAGACCGGTAAATCAAAACATTTCGCATTTATTGAATTTGCATCTGATGAAGTTGCGGAAATAGTAGCCGAAACGATGCACAATTATCCTTTATCCAATCGACTTCTTCAATGTAAGTTTTCTTTTTTCAAAAAAAAAAAAAAAAAATGATCAATAAATATTAATTAATAATTGTATTGATTTTTTTTATTATATCAATTAGGTAAAGTAGTACCCGAAGAAAAAATAAATCCACGTATGTGGATAGGAGCGAATAAAGTATATACACCAGAATCATACCTTAAAGTAGAATTAAAAAAACGCACTAAAAAAAAATCATTAAAACGAGTCGAACATCAAATTCAAAAATTAGTTAAAAATGAAAAATTGAAACGAAAAAAGTTACAAGATTTGGGAATCGATTATGATTTTCCCGGTTATGTAAGTAATTTAAGTAAAAATATTCTCGATGATTTATAATGTATAATTAATTTCATCATTCCGATAAATGATTTATACAGGCTGCAAGTGTTAAACCAAAAGCTAAACACATCAAATTTGAAGATTCCGATTGAAATTATTTGTGAAAAATTTTATTCTTCGTCAAATGAGAATTTCTTGGAAATTTTATACTAATAATCTAATTTTATTTTAATTAACAGTTAAAAAATTATTAGTCGTGATAAAAATCATTCTATCACAAAATGAATTAAGTATATCATATGCTATACTATCAATACAAAGCAAATACATCATTTACAAAAATAAAAAAGGTTTTTTTTTTTTGGTACATGCTGGTGTGTTGCTAAACTAAAATGATAATTTTTGAATCTAGGTATATGAAAATAATAAAAAACTAAAAAGGGGAACAAGAAGTAATACATAATTATATTACTGCCTCATTAGGGATGGATGATATAAAGAATTACTTTTCTTTTTCTTTTTTCTTGATTTTTTTTTTTTTTTTTTATAAATCATATATATATATTCTATGAATCAATTGTCTTTTATAAAATATTTTGGGGTCAATTCCACGAAGCAATTTTTTATCCCATCAGTCGGTCCAATACGTTTTCAAACCCTTGTCGACCCTGTACTGAATTGTCCCTGAATCGTTGAATGAAGAAATTTTCAATATATCCGGCGAATTTAGAGATTGATTCACCACATTTGATCCTTGCCTCTTGTTTAAATAATGTCCTAGCGAAAGAAAAAGTGATTAATTAAAATTATTATAGGAATGCAAAATTCATTTATTAAACTTGTATTCTCCGATAACTAATAACATCTTGTTGGTACCTAGATGGATTCGTTGGGTCCACGGTATAAGTTACAGTTTCAGTGACATTAATCAAATGATTCATTGATAAATTGCAGCTGGTCATCTTCAACACCTTATTTTGAGGGTCGATTTCGCTTACTTCTCTAGCATAAGTTACAGTACAGCCACCACACAACCTGTTTAACATGCCCGGTATATTTTGATGGCACGTTATTAATCGCTCAGTTCGAAGTACGCCAGTTTCTGGATCAACGTGGCGGTCCAAAACATCTATGGCGACAACATGTGGGCAATTATCATTTGGATATTTTCGCCAGTTGGCTGCTGAAACTTGAGACCATTTATAAAAATAGGTATGTGTGGCTTCAAAGAGTTTCATATTGAATGTAATAAGTGGAAAAAGCAATCTCTAGAATTTGCTTTAAAATATAAGATGTATTAAATTCGTACGGTCTAAAGAAAAAATAAGAATTGATTGGTATTAATAATTTAATAATTTTCACTATCATTTATACTTTAT